ATGGTCAAAAACTACCAAAAACGGCCAGAATTTTGTACCATGCGACTGCTTGTACAATCCATACCGAGACATTAAGTCTCATTTACCCATGCGACAGCATGGTTCAAATATTATTCTTTTCCTTTTACTGTTTCTTCTTCCTTCTACATTTTATTTTGATTTTATTAATATTGAACAATGTATGAGCCTGTTTGGTAGGGATTTTTAGGGGAAGAATTGATTTTGAATAGTGATATGATGAGAAATGTGTGGTTGAAAAAGAAAAAAAAGTATTGATGTGATGGAAAATATTATTTTATTGAAGAATGTGTGGTTGAAAATGAGAATTGATTTACTGTAGAAAATGAAAATCTGTACCAAACAGGCCCTTAGTAACCAACTTTTATCCNCACTTGTTTTTCATGTGCAATCCATTAACACCAATTCCTATACATAGGTCAAGTTTAGATGCGCGAAATAGTGCCAAAAAACATGTGAAAAGGCACCAAGTTTAAAAACATCAATGGTCAAAAACTACCAAAAACGGCTAGAATTTTGTACCATGCGACTGCTTGTACAATCCATACCGAGACATTAAGTCTCGGTTACCCATGCGACAGCATGGTTCAAATATTATTCTTTTCCTTTTACTGTTTCTTCTTCATTCTACATTTTATTTTGATTTTATTAATATTGAACAATGTATATAACAATATTCAATGCACAAACGCATAGAGGATGATTCATATTGTCCACGAAAGACCAACAGCATCCTGCAATCAGGATTTTGCCACGCATCCGAGTTTCGATTTTTGTTTTTTTGTGAGAAATGGAGGAGACAACAAATTATGTTTGATACGTTCCCATTTATGTAAGATTTGAATATACACAAATTTCATATGCTTTGTACCAACAGCTGCACAAGACTCCCATTCTTCACCACTCATTCACAAACCCTATCTTGTCGCCATATCAATATGGTTTCATTTAGTCTTACTTTCTTCTTAATATTGGACACTTATATGATCGACTAGTCTCAAGTCACTTGACAAGTAAATGAAATCGTTTGTTTATTTTGATTTAATGGCGTCGAATGCATCGACTCACAAAGGCTCGAAATATGATACCTAGACATGGTTCTAAATATTCTATGTATTTTTCAAATTTCTGAAAGATATAAGACGTTTCAAAGTGTGAAGTCAAGTATCAAACTTTACGAGCCTGGATGAAATCTTGGCAAATAAAGTTTATTTTTTATTTTTTTTTAATTATCTATATCAATAAATAAATAAAATAACACATACCTGAAATTTTAAAGAAACTTTAGTCATACTTTTCAAGTTTCCAACAAAAATATATTTATAAAATCATGAATACTACAATTACTTAATAATTAATTTCTACAATTAGAGTATGTATGAACACAGCCTAAATCTTATATAACTCTTTATCGACGGCGAATCGAAAATTGCAGAAATTGGAAAATAAATTGACCATAGAAACAAGGTGAAGAGGAATAATGCTTTGGTTTTTTGGTTTTTTTTTTCTTTAATTGCGAATGCTATTATTTAAGACATAAACAAAGAGTATGGGACTGTTCATGGGCTGGATTTCGGCTAGGTTGGGCTTCTATGAGCTTAGTCTTTGTAGGATTAGACATTCTATTAAACAAAAAAGTCTCGCGCCTTTTTCTACTTAGGTGCACCTCTGATATGGTCAACAAGTAATTGATCGTCTTTTCCTACAAGGAGCATTTTCTCCGATCCCCAAACTTAAGCGTACCTTTTAGAATATCCGCCCACCCTAAAATACTTCTTATTTCCACTTAGGTACACTCGCTTCAAAATATTAGCTCAAATTTAAAGATAGGGACACGTAACTAAAGAGTGAAGATCACACGTAGTCGAAAACTTAAGATTCTCTAACATTATATTTCTCCATTCCAAACAATATACTTTGATGCCCTTTTCCTATATTATTAGTTTAGTTTGCTACCAATAAACTGTCTATTAGTGTCCCCTTAACTCACTTAAGAGTCCGACAAACAGCCAAATTATGCACATTAATTTAATTCATATGCAACTACCTAGCATATTCCAGTGACTCTCTGGATCTGATTATGATAAACATGAATGAGCACATACAAGGGTAAATTCGAGTTTGACCACCAGTCAACTCACATTGACACGATGAATGTCATTTTTCTATTTTGAGTTTCTCTCCCGCCATGATTTAAGGAGAATGGATAGGAGGCTCGTAGAATTAACTCGAAGAGCTAGGATGGCAATATCGGGAATGGACTCTTATTGGTTAAATATGAGAACAACAATTAACATATAAGCCATGCTGGGTGTACATCATCATCTGTACCTTTGTTTACATCATATCACGTGTCATTATCTCATTCGACAATTTAAAAAAATATTTTTTAATCCACTTATTTCTTGACAACACATCAAGTGTTATAATGAGTGTACACAATTGATGTACAAATAGCATAATCCTTAACGTATATATAAAAGTTTGAGCTACTCAAAAAGTTAACTTTTTAAGATGAAGATTGGATTTTTCTTCTTTTTTTTCAACTACTACATGTGGTATGTTTTAACGAAAATAAAACATAGTTTATGACATACTTATTTAGGAGGGTGGTTCGGTGTGACCTTTAGCTAAAGGTTTTTTGAAAAATAAATTTATCTTGTCCAGAGATGAAAAGTACAATGTAAGAACTAAAGATACCATACTTCACTTGCCTTAATCATATTACCCATCATCATACATCGAACTTAAGATTTAATTTGATATCATAATCTAATAAGTTCAAATAAACAACTTGAACCATCTAAAGTGTAAGGTCAGGAACACACGATATTAATGGTGAGAAACAACGATAAAATGATCTCTCAAAAAATGGAGTGCAAAAATTAAAGATAACACAATCGATATATTTCGGTCCTCAGTTGATCATCCAATAAATTGGATTTATACTCAGTTCCACTATATAGTCCAAAATGGCAACAAATGTTACAAATGTTCAGCTAATACACCGAAACAGTACAAGAACACTCATCTCTCAAAAATACAACGATCGATCCACAAAAATACCAGGAATCTTCACAAACCCACAGAAACAATAACTCAAGAGAACTCAAACTCTCTTATAGATATTCACTCAGAATATCACTAAAATTGGGGTTAAAGATTACCTAGAAAACGAGAGAACTTCCTTCAAAACCATCACAGAGAATGAAAACCCTTAAGAACAAAACCATGTGTAAAATGAAATGGCGCCCCATAGAAACCTCCAGAAACAAAACCAACAGCCAAGATGTAACCACATGTCTCAATCCGGTTAAAGGTGAATTTTTAATAAAGTTGCAATATCAAAAATGCGACTTTAACACCCAAATTCTGGAAGCACCAATCGAACCACGGTTCGAGTCTCACAAAGTTTACTAGAAAAATTTAAAATCAATATTCTTAAACGAGCCCATATCTAACCCAAAAATGCTAAATGGTAAATCCAATATCACCGTGTATGTCAATTATCATGTGATGACAACCATGAGCAGTCAAATGCTTTTCCTCGAACATCCTTCGATGAAATAAAAAACTAGCACTAGTGTTACAACTATTATTAGTGCAAGCATCTTTTATTAAAATAGCCTTACTTAGAAACATCCATGCTTCNCTAAAGATACCATACTTCACTTGCCTTAATCATATTACCCATCATCATACATCGAACTTAAGATTTAATTTGATATCATAATCTAATAAGTTCAAATAAACAACTTGAACCATCTAAAGTGTAAGGTCAGGAACGCACGATATTAATGTTGAGAAACAATAATAAAATGATCTCTCAAAAAATGGAGTGCAAAAATTAAAGATCATACAATCGATATATTTCGGTCTAAGCCCCGGAGGTTCGACAATCGCTTTTAACGTCTACATCCTCAGTTGATCATCCAATAAATTGGATTTATACTCAGTTCCACTATATAGTCCAAAATGGCAACAAATGTTACAAACGTTCAGCTAATACACCGAAACAGTACAAGAACACTCATCTCTCAAAGATACAACGATCGATCCACAAAAATGACCAGGAATCTTCACAAACCCACAGAAACAATAACTCAAGAGAACTCAAACTCTCTTATAGATATTCACTCAGAATATCACTAAAATTGGGGTTAAAGATTACAGATCAAGAATCTCAAATTAGAGATTTGAGATAAGAAAAATAGAATAAGAGAATCCTAGAAAACGAGAGAACTTCCTTCAAAACCACCAGGGAGAATGAAAACTCTTAACAAAACCATGTGTAAAATGAAATGACACCCAATAGAAACCTCCAAAAACAAAACCAACGGCCAAGATGTAACCACATGTCTCAATCCGGTTAAAGGTGAATTTTTAATAAAGTTGCAATATCAAAACGTGACTTTAACACACAAATTCTGGAAGCACCAATCGAACCAGGGTTCGAGTCTCACATAAAGTTTACTAGAAAAATTTAAAATCAATATTCTTAAACGAGCCCATATCTAACCCAAAAATGCTAAATGGTAAATCCAATATCACCGTGTATATCAATTATCATGTGATGACAACCATGAGCAGTCAAATGTTTTTCCTCGAACATCCTTCGATGAAATAAAAAACTAGCACTAGTGTTACAACTATTATTAATGCAAGCATCTTTTATTAAAATAACCTTACTTAGAAACATCCATGCTTC